TCGGGCATGCTCACATCCCCCACTGCGGCACAGTGCCTCGACGGGTCGTACATGTCCTTCGTTGACACTTTGATGCGGATCGGGGCCCACTCACTCCCCACGCCTTGTGCGGCGACGGTGTACGCCTGCATCTCGCCCTGTCCTCTGCGCGGCACATCACGCACCACCGCAGTCGCCGGCGGCCACCTCCCCCTATCATCTCGTCAAACCCCCAGCGGTGCTTCCGGGCAGGAGCGACGGCGAGGCACCCACCGGCGCAACACACCAACAGCAGCAAAAACACCGCCAGTGGGAGAAACGGCATGCTGCGGCGTGGCTGGCACATCGCCTGAATAAACTGCCCGTGTTGCTTCCGTTTGAACATCAGCAGCGGTATTATTAGTGGTGGCAGTAGTAGTGGTGGCGCAGACCTTTTAGGCGGGGAAAATAAATAAAAAATAAAAATAAAAGAAAAAAGAGCAAAAGACTTACAACGGACATAAAACGACAAAACCAATCAAACTCTTCCAACTCGGTGTACACGGCATGAGGCACACGCTGCCCCCGCCTTAGCCAGGCCCTTCAGCGACCGGCATGTTTGCGTCGCACTGCCGCGGCGCAGCGGTCATGCGGCCAGTATCGTCTGTCAGTTCCCCGCTCCTGTCGGACACTAACTGCAGCTGCAGGTACGCCTGCCGCGCGTCTTGTCTGCCCTGCCTCCTTGCACCTTCGCCACAACCACACTGCAGCAACGCACCACGCCGCGACGTGAGCTCCACGCCCAATACCACGCGACAAACAAAATACAAACCGGGCACACTCCCGAGATGCCGTGATCCCGCCGCAACGTGTGCCGCACAATGCCCACCGCGTGACACACAAAGGCGTCGAGGCCCCGGCAGCCGCAGCACAGCACCGCGCCTCCCATGAGTGCCCCAATCCGTAGCAGCGCGCCTCTGCAGAGCAAACCGCGCCGTGGGCTTCCGGAATGTGGTTCCGACAACCGCATAGAAGGCTCGTTCACACGCCAAGAGAAGAAGAACTGCGTCCCTGCCTGCAATCCCAATCACAGTACTCACGTAGAGTCCATCCCCGCTGCGTCGAAACATTGACGCCGTCACCAGGAGCACTGGTGGCGCGAGTCGGTCCGCAGCAACCCGCAACGGACAGAGACAAGTCTGATGTCAACGCGAAGGCAACGGCCCCCGGCACACACCCATCAACGCTGCCAAGCCCCTGTCGTAGCTCGCGTCATTTGGCGGCAGCGTTCCCCAGGAGCATGCTCGAAAAATGCGCGGCTGCGGCACTCTGCGAGGCACTCCAAACCCCCGCACGTACGCCGCTCCGGTCGGCACGGAGGCGGCACCCGAAGATGACACGGCAGCCGCACAAAATCCCACCGCTCGCCTTCGGCTCCCCTCCCACCAGCGTCCCAGCTGCCCTTCATCTGCAACCACAACAAGAGGGAAGCAAAGCGCACACCACAATGCCGCTGCACTGGCAAGCAAACCGCACGGCAGCACCACACCTCCCAGCACTAGCAACCATTTGCCCCTCCACATACCTCACTTACCGTCGTCCCCAAAGCACACACACACAAGAAGGGAAGCATCATTACTCAAAGCCAAGGCAAAATTAAAAACAACAAAACTCTGAATGCAAGCGGGGACCCTCGCACACACACAAACACCGTCTGAGACAGCGGAACAGGTGCAGTCAACCAAAACACCCAAATAAAGAGAGACGCAAAGAAAAAGACTGCTCAAGGAATCAGCACCATCCCTTAAAGAAAAAAAAAGCGACAAAAAAGGTTCTGCGCGTTCCTCAGCGTATGCCTTAGCGACAGCCCAGAGCAGCAAGCGGCAAACCACAGCAGGCTCCAAGGGCCCTTTCCCTTCCACAGCACACTGACAAAGTGAAAGCGCCGGCAGCTCCCACTCCGCCTTCCACGTTCGTCTCCGCAGTGCACACGTTGCTTGTTCCGCAACCCCGCAATGGCCTCTCCGCCGAACTGTCGTCGGACGCCACGCAGCCCTACGCTGCATTTCTCCGCAGTTACCGCAAAATTTCACCGACGGCAGCCGTCCCCTTCCCCAAATAAAGCACGCGCATGTGCACTGCCCTTCCGCAGCACCCGCATGAGTGCCCCGCGCTGCCGACGCAGATGCAGTAATGACCAATCTAATTCTTTTCAAATCCTCGTGCCACCACATGAAGGGCTCGCACCTCCGACTATAGAAGAATCACCTGCGGTGCGCCCTGCCCTACGCCGCCGCCGACACACACACCTAGCCGCTCTGTGGGGATCGCTGTTGGACGTGTTTGAGAGGGCTCCCCACAACTACCGCCACAGGCCCACAAGAGTGCAGCGCAAATGCTCACACAAAAAGTCCCGCCATGGTGCCCGATCCCACCGCATTCGCACCACCGTGTTGGAGTTGGTGGCGGAGCCTTTCACCTCTCCCTCCCCCTCTCCCTATCCTTCTATGATGTCTGCTAAACTGGGTCCTCCTCCCGCTGCTGGGGCTCGTCCACAGCATCCCGGGTGTCCTGGACCCGCAAACCCAAAAGCCTTCTTTACCACCCGCTGAATTCGGAGCTGGGCACAACGTCTTCTGCTCAACTTTTCGAGATGCACCGTTACCCCTTCTGCTTGAAGGGCACGAGCCCACTTGGGAAAGCTTTCCCACACCATTAATGTAGCAATACCCGGAGTAGCTGGTGTGGGAGCAACAACTCAGAACGCGTCCAGCAGCTGGGCAGGCGACAAACTCATCGGGCACCGCATGGCGCCGTCAAAGCTTCGGAAATCCGCAATTTTTAACGGATTCCCGGTGCTGCCGCCCGCAGCCTGGGCTCCCTGGGCTCCTGCAACCCC